CCATACTTCGAGAACTGAGCAATCCTGATATCGACCTTTTTCAACGTCGATATCGACCTTCAATATCGAGATCGAGGTTTCTAACATCGATATTTCGAGATTTCTATAAAAAAGACCATATAGACCAGAGAGGGGGATTCACACATTTTCATATTTTTCGAGACTTTTACTTGTTTTTTGGTTACTCAACATTTGGGGGATGAATTGGAGTGGAGATTGTTGTATTTCATTGTTCAATGATCGATTTATAACGCAATAAGTCTTATATTCCTTTTCTATTGAAATGTTATATGAATCTATGTCTATTTTGCTTTTCTCCATGATGTGTGAGTAGTCCACTTGCTGTAGGCTAAGGAATCTAGCCATGTTACGAAATTATCAATGTGCTTAAACGGTTGATGCATGTCTAAGTTATCCAGTTTTATGAATGTCGTTTCAACTTCGTAGGTATTCGTTGAACTAGGTTTCATCGACCTGCAAGACTCGGAAAACGTTCTAAACGAAACTTATAACCTGGATATAGCCGTTTCAACTCCGTAGGTTCCAAATAACAACTCCATCCCACAAACTATATATAGAAAGTCTGGAGAACTATCAATTCGACACGGTTCAACCACGTTCTACAAAGTCACTAGATCATCAAGATATTTCTACTCTATCATCCCAAAAATCCTCCAAATGATGTTCAAAACGGGTGTCCGAGGTATGCACGTGAACCTATATGAACCTATATCTATATGTCATATGCAATCATGCAAACCTAACAAAAATCATCTATATGGAAAAAAGGAAAAAGAAAACGTGAATGCAACTAATGCAAAGTGATATGCAAAAGTGAAAATTTTTCCTAAGTCTATATGCCGTGATAAAATGCACCTAAACTAAATGCAATCCTAAGTAGATAGGCCTGAATATGTGAAGGATCTATCCACCCCCCAGACTTGAACCACACACCGTCCACGGTGTAGACTCTCGCCCGGAAAAGTAGAATAAAAAACAACATATGAAAAGAACAGCTTAACTCAGCGAAATTCGTTCGCTCACAATGAAGTTAACTCACGTCAAACGCCAGAGCTCTCACAAACTCTGTAAACTGGAACCTATCAATGTTGTCTCTCGGAAGTCGATGCTCATCTCTCGTGTGCCGGTGTAAACGCTCATAGAACAACAAACGTTATCCGAACAAAAGCATAATAATAGCAATGTATTCCGAAAGATCCAAAATACAATCATGGTCTCTACCACCTACGCTACAAAGAAAAAGAAAAAGAAAAGTTACCTAATGCTCGGGTTGTCTCCCGAGAAGCGCTTGTTTAACGTCATTAGCTCGACCTATCTTGCTCAAATGATGGAAGGGTCTGAGAGTGATGAATCTGGAGGTCGGGGTGGTGGTCTATGCGGGTGTCTCACATACTCTGATTTCTCCACACGTGTCATCCATGCTTGATCATCTGCAATGAAAGAGTAAAAAACAAGTATAGGATTATTAAAACGGCGCTTACTTGTTTCTACTGGCCTGAGGATGACATCTTCTGGCCACTTTCTATCGTCTGAAAAACTGACATGGTCCGAGTTGCATGTGATACGGTCTGAGTCAAGTTTCTGAAAGAAGTCACTCATGCTTGTTGTGGTCCGATCAACCTCAAGTGTATAGGAGATAGACTCATGTTCCGTTTCTCCTTCATTTAGCAATCGAGTAATCTCCAAAATCGCCTCCCAATTGTTGTAGATGTTCTCGTCACCTGTAATCATAGTAAGGTGGAGAGCAAACTAGTGTAGATGGTTAGTTTAAAAGAAACACTAAAACTATACATAGGACTCGACTCAAATATATACACAAAAGACTCCGAAAAAAAAAAAGACAGAACTCAATATATATACAAGCAAGATCTAGAATCGATAAAGACCTAGAAATAGGCTAACCAGTCCCCGGAAACGGCGCCAAAACCTTGATACATGTGTACCGAGTCTAGAATTTATAACCCGATTCACAACTCACCGTAAGGATACGGATCGTCGTAACACGGGGTCGAACGCAAGGACCGGTAGCTAAATCTAAACCCTAATCGAAACTAAATCAAAGCAAGTAGGAGTGGAAGTGATGATGAAAATATGTGGAAAGAATGGAGAACGAGTAAACTATCAAGCAACAGTGACTACGGGTATCGGGATTGTATTCGCGTGTATGGGTATATGCTAAGCATGCGAGGATAATGATTATGACTTGTATTCGGGAATAATCAAGCAACAAAGATAGAGAATTCACCTCTCGGTCTACTAACTCACTACC